TGTGCATATGTGTGTGTATTCCAGAGAGAAATATACAGAGATAAACTGTCTGAATGTGTATAGTTGCTTTATAGCAATAGCAGAGGCATATAATACTTAAACGTTTGCAAAACTAATGACCACTAGCTAAAATCACATTTCAAAATATATTTAAGTTAACACACTTAAATTGGTTTCCATGAAACTTTATCCACAGGGTTGGTAAAAATTTAATTTCAAATAATAGGGAGGTCCCCTCTTTTTCTTTGGGTAAGCCAGTTGGAGCAGTTTACGTGAAGCTCAGAGAAAAGGTGGAAGGGCTTTTTATCTTTAACCCATCATGGTTGCATGTTGTCCACATATTAAAACCCATATCCATCTTTCAGTAGTCAGTGGCCTTGTCTCTTCTGTGTAAGCCTGGTGCAGAAGAATCTTTTCAAAGCCTAAAACTTCATTTTCTCATGTGCATTCTCATTCGACAAACTGTGTCATGGAGCCCTTGACTGCTCCTCCAAGTGCTGTGGGGGATAAGGGTGGTAGGTGTTGCCACAGCTTCCCAATATCCAAGGTAACTTACAACTTCCATCCCTTTCTATTATAAGGCAATTTCTCTTCATTGCCCCAAAACAAAAACAAAAACAAAACAAAACTCTTACACTTTCTCTCCTTTGTAGACACTGAATAATAACAGAGTTGTCTCCTTTCATGAGGTTAGTCTTTTTAAGAAACCACTTTTTAAAAATCTAGCACTTTCTTTTGTGTCTCCATAAATGCATTAATTTATTCAAAAAGTACTTATTCCACAATAGTAATCAGATACTGTTCTAGGAACTAAAAATACCATAGTAATCAAAACAAAGTCTCTCATGGAATGCACATTTTATCAGAAAGAACTTAGGCATTAAGTAAATGAATATATAAACACATAGTATGTCAGGTAAGATACGTGCTATGAAAATGAGTAAAGTGAGTTAGGGTGTTGTGTTGTTTGAGTGAGTAGTGGAAGCTGTTTCTTTTATGTCAAGAGACTAGGGAAACTGCTTGTTATAAGGTATTAACATTTGGGCAGAGATCTGATGATGGGAAGAGTCAAGCCATGTGACTATTTCTGGAAGGTTATTTCTAGCAAAGAGAAGAATATTTGTAAAGACCCTGAAATAAGTGTGTGACTTGATTCAAGAAAGAACCAGGGCCAATTTGGCTGGGATTTAGTTGTAAATGCAGGGTGGGAAAAGCACAAAAGCAGGACAGAGTGATAAACGTGTGTATGCATTGGATTCCTTCCATAAAAGTGAGATTTAAGCTGGCTATAGGTGCTCATTGTCAGGTCTTGCTTCCAGAGTTAGCTGGCCATCTCTTCAAGGGAAAGAAGAAGTGTAGTTGACAGTCTTCTCTCCACATCTTATAAGTCAATTGCCAATGATTATGGGTTGTTAATATGAATTTTTTTATATGAACAGTACAATGAAACACAAGATCTTCCATTTAATCAAATTCCTTTTGTAATGCAACTTACTTTCTAGTTCTTGTTCAACTGTTCATTAGAATTTAATATAACTTTCACCTAATATTATACAATATTTATTTTTTTCTTTCTCTTATTTCTCCATATGTTTCTCAGCTCCTCTCCAATCTGAATCCCAACCTCAGGTAACCTATAGCTTAGTCTAAATCTTTATACATGTTTCTCCATGATACACAAATACACACATACATATAAAAATGTATTTATTTTCTGTTTATGTCATATATTTCTAGAAACATAGCATTAGAGACCACCTAATTTTTGGGTAATAACTTTTCTTTATTGCCATTGCACCATGGAAATCCATCCAGGTCTTTATAATAGCTTCATTATAGTTATGTCAGTTTCCATATTTGCGGTACTTTGAATGAAGAAAAAAATAAGACACATATTCTTTTGTATTAGCACCTTTCTTTCTTTCATATATATATTGCAATAATATAAAGGATATGTTTATTTTTTGTCTTGGAAGATATTGTCAGGTTATCTTTCAAGTGGACCATAGCAATTGATGTCCTTGCCAGCACTGGATTTTAACATGTGCTTGTTTTTTTGTGCCAAAAGACGGGTACAAATTGATATGTCATTGTTGCATTATATTTATGTTTCTGTATTATTATTTGAATTTTTCTCCTTTATATATTTCCTCTTTATCTCTTTTGAGCGTTTTTGTGTTTGGGGTGTTATTCTTTCTTATCAATTTGAGATAGCTTTTTGTAATTTTGGCCAATTAATTCTTAGATGATGACATTATATTGCAAACATTTCTCCATTTACCACTTGCTAACGGTATCTTTTGCTATGAAAATATGCATATTTTTATTCAATTTTATTTATATCTTTTGTTTTATAGATTCTGATTTAAATTTTTTTCAATGTTATTGTGTTTGTTGTTACAAGAATAAGTATCATTGCAAAATACATGAAAGTACAGAAAACTATTATGAAGGAAATAATAATTACAAATATTACCAGTCCCCTAGAAAGTCAACAGATTAATGCATAATGTCCCATATAAATATGTAAAGATAAATGTATGCATATAAGTATAAGCATTTTACATGTATATCTGTTTTTGAACAAAAATAAAATTAGCATGCTTTGTAAGTGTGTGTTTTATTCTTTTAATGTATTATAACCACAATTCCTTATCCATGCCATTACATATTTATCAATGCAATAAGTCAGCATGTTATTTAACCTTAGGAATAGTACATCATCCATTAAAAAAAATTCATGTGCATGAAGAAGGCTTCTAATATTGTGGTAATTTTAAGAAGTGCAACTACTATTTCTTTAGCAAAAAATGTTGCACTTATTCATATTTACCTTCTTAGGATGACACCCTAAAAGGATAATGATTATATTAAAAGTCAAGAGCAGTTTTAATGATTTTGAAATATTTCACTACCTAATGAAAAACTGACCTTCAGAAAAGCTTTAGTGGTATATACCAAAGTAGCAATAAATGACATACCCTTAGATCCACACACTCATTAATACTGACCTAAAACGGTGTTATTCTATTAATCTAGTGTGAACAAAAAGGTGAAACTTGCAGTTAAGCATATAGAATTGTTCTTACTTTATTAAAAAGATTAAGCTAACAAAAAAAGAGCACAAATAATATGCGAATGATGTCATTGCTGCTGCTGTGGTTGATGTTGTTGATATGGAGGCTGAGAAAGGCCCAAGAAAAACATGAAACCTGTTAAGTATCTCATTATGATACATTTTACTGTTGTTTCCCTTATCTGAATGATGAAAGAGAATTCAAATACATTTCAATTATTTAAAGAAAAATACATGGAGATTTAAAAAATACACAAATTCCAAGTCACTTGGGTAGAATATAATTTTTTTTATGATAGTAACTCCAGCAAAAGTAATAAGAAAATAAAACAGGATTATGACTAGAAAGCAAATACAAAATGTAAATAAGAAAATAAGGGCAAACTGACTTCAATAAATATCAACGTGAAGATGTCTTCCTTTAAAAAATTCTCATTATGTGTAAAAAGTATCCAGCTATATTTCTTTTTCCTGTTGCCTCCTTCTCAATTTTCACAAGAAATGTTTTTGAAAAGATACATTTTTAAATTGATTCAATTGTTGTTAATTGATAAAGATGAAGGAAATAGAAAAGGGAGGAAAAGCAAAGCTGGAAAGGTAAGAACATTCTATCTATGAGAGAAAAAAAAAAGGAAAGGAATCGGGCAGTAGATTTCTAGCTGCACATAAAGTGGAGAGGGGGTGAAGCAAAAACGCTCTTTAATTTATTTTATGATCTAAGTAAGGATTGCTCCATTTTCTTTCTGAAAAGTGTTCTGAGGCAATGTATTTCTTAGAGTCTCTTGCTCTTCCTCTCTTTGATTAGTAGAACTTCCCTCAATGCCTGCATTTCAACAGACCTTGGTAAATTATGTTCCATAGACCTGTAACTCTTTAACACTCACTCTCATTTGTTTATCTTTCCGAGGTGGGAAATTATGAATACAACAAAGTGTAACTGTTAGCTATGTTTCCCAAGAAAGCTTTGCCAAAATATGTATATACTTTTCTCAGAAAAATAAATTTTATATAATTACAGTAAATGGGGCATGCAGTGCTTACAAAGTTCCAGTGAGAAACCTTGGTTCGAAAATTCAATCGGCTTGCTGTTACTGCTCTCACTGAAGGACATAGAAATACCTACTATAAAACCTGTTATAATTAGGTAATAGAATTATAGTGAAAAGCTTTTCAGGGCAGGTTTTAAAATATTTTGAACATTACTTCTCTTTGAGGAGGTAGTAATTCATTTGGCAGTAAAACCCTCTCTCTACTGCTCCATAAAATGTGGAGGAACCAACTAGCAAAGTTTTGGAAGAGTCCCTTTCATAAGAAGATAGCAGAAACCCAAATGATAATATATGAAAATTATGAAATAGTGTTTTAAGAAGAAAATAGTAAGAGAAAAATATTTTATCTCTTGGTATATTTTATCCTTAAATTTCTGCCGCGGAAATTAGGCCTAACCTAAAGAAGAAATCTACTATTGACTTTGGCATACACCTAAACTACTTGCTGAAAAGGATATGGCAAAAGAAATTCACACATTCAGGACCTCATCAGATTTTATGAAACTGAGTTGCTCAGCCCATATTCCTAAGATTTGTTGGATATATAGAGAAGTCCAAAGTAAAGAGAGAAAAAAAATTTGGAGTGAACAAAATCTAAGAATTTATCATTTCTTTTCTTTTCTTTTCTTTTTTTTTTTTTTTGAGATATGAATCTCCGTCTGTCACACAGGCTGGAGTGCAATGGCGTGATCTCAGCTCACTGCAACCTCTGCCTCCTGGGTTCAAGCAATTCTCCTGTCTCAGCCTCCTGAGTAGCTGGTATTCCAGGTCTACTAGGCCACCATGCCTAGCTAATTTTTGTATTTTTATTAGAGACGGGATTTCACCTTCTTGGCCAGGCTGGTCTTGAACTCCTGACCTCATGATCCACCCACCTCAGCCTCCCAAAGTGCTGGGATTACTGGTGTGAGCCACTGTGCCCAGTTAATTTATCATTTCTTTTACCTGTCCATTCTCTGCTTGTGCTAGAAAACAAAGGGGTTGTCCCTCCTGAGGGACAGTGGGAGATATAGAGAGGTTGTCATGAATGTCTAAGCAATAAAAGATCCTTGGCATTGTCTAAGCAATAAAAGATCCTTGGCATTTTGGCATTCCCAATTCTTTTGGTCTCACATTTTGTGGGATGCGAGAGATACTGCAGGTGGGTTAGGGGTACAGATAACAGCTTGAAATTTGTTCCTTTTACCCCTGGTTCTTTCATAGAAAATTCTTGAAGTTATTCAGCATTCAGGGATCTAGGCAGCATACAGAAGCAAATCAAATAGACTGAGAGTAAGAGACAAAAGTTTCCTCATTTGTGATAGAAAACAAAACATGGCATGGAGAAGGTTATGGGCCATCTACAATGGAAGATTCTCAGTTGACTTGGTCATCAAAGAGGTAACTACTTAAAGCATCGGTTAATAGAGAAACTCCTCTACATTTCAAATTGGAAATGATAAAGAATTCTAATCCAGAAAGAGGATAACATTCAATATTTTAGATATGGGTTAGATATGTGGGAGAGTGAGAGAATAGAACTAAGACAAACAAACAAAAAAATGCCCCAATTCCCCAAAATCTTCCTCTCTCTGTAGGAATAGCTAATAAAAAGAAACCTAAAGACAATAAAATTTAAAATTCTATGCTTACACACATCTTATGTTATCGCTTTCAACCTTGAGTAACTGTTTAATATGTGTGACTTAATCTTTCTGTTTTTACAGATAAGGATGTGTAATTTCTGAAATAGGGCAGGGACCTTGAAACTGTGAGTTGAACAATGTATAACCTAATTAAGCTAAAATTAGTGCTGTGGGGCTCAGTCTAAAAAATTATTGTCTATGTGCTAAAGTCACCTTCTAAACATACAATTAAAAATAATTAATTCCAACATGAAACTCTCATTGATAAAAGAGTAGGAAAGCTCTTTGTGAAACTTTCCTTTGAAGGCTGAATATATGATTTTCTAGGAATAGTTATGTGTCTGTATAAAAGTGTTTTAATATTTGTTTATTCCAAGATGAATTCCAACCTAACAAAACTAAAATACAGTTAAACATTCAACTGGATATTAAAGCATGATTTGTTTTTCAAAAGAAACATGTATATTTTGAGTTCCTAACTGGAAACTGGTAGCATGCCAACAAATAGAAAAACTGTATTTTTTTTTCTTTATTTCTCCTAAAAAAAACCCCAAAAAACAAAAATAAGGATACATGTGCAAAATGTGCAGGTTTGTTACATCGGTGTATGTGTGCCATGGTGGTTTGCTGCACATATTGACACATCCTCTAAATTCCCTCCCCTCACCCCCCATGCCCCAACAAGCCCTGGTGTGTGTTGTTCTCCACTGTATGTTCATGTGTTCTCAATGTTCAACAACCACTCATGAGTGAGAACATGTGGTGTTTAGTTTTCTGTGCCTGTGTTAAGTTTGCTGAGGATGATGGCTTCAAGCTTCATCCATGTCCCTGCAAAGGACATGATCTCATTTTTTATGGCTGTATAAAAAATGGTGTATATGGACAACATTTATTTTTATTTTTATTTTTATTTAAGTTCTGGGGTACATGTGCAGATCTCGCAGGATTGTTACATAGGTATACACATGCCATGGTGGTTTGCTGCCTCCATCTCCCCATCACCTACATTAGGTATTTCTCCTAATGTTATCCCTCCCCAATGTCCCCAACCCCTACTATCCCTCGCCTACCCCCCCACCCTGCAACAGATCCCAGTGTGTGATGTTCCCCTCCCTGGACAATATTTTTTTTATCCAGTCTATCATCGATGGGCATTTGGGTTGGATCCATGTCTTTGCTATTGTACATCATGCTGCAATAAACATACATGTGCATGTGTCTTTATAGTAGAATGATTTATACTCCTTTGGGGATATACCCAATAATGGGATTGCCGGGTCAAATGGTATTGTTGTTTCTAGATCCTTGAGGAATCACCATACTGTCTTTGACGATGGTTGAATTAATTTACATTTCCACCAACAGTTTAAAAGCATTTATATTTCTCCACAGCCTCATCAATATCTCTTGTTTCCTGACCTTTTAAATTATACTTTAAATTCTGGGGTGCATGTGCAGAAAGTGCAAGTTTGTTACATAGTTATACACATGCCATGGTGGTTTTCTGCATCCATCACCCCAACATCTATGTATGATCGCCATTCTGAATGGCATGAGGTGGTATCTCATTACAGTTTTGAATTGCAGTTCACTGATGATCAGTGATGTTGAGCTTTTTTACATGTTTGTTGGTCACATAAATGTCTTCTTTTGAGAAGTGTCTGTTCATATACTTTGCCCACTTTTTGATGGGGTTGTCTTTTTTTTAATAAATATATTTAAGTTCCTTTCAAATTCTGGATATTAGACCTTTGTCAGATGGGTAGATTGCAAAATTTTTTCGCAATCTGTAGGTTGTCTGTTTACTCTGACAATAGTTTCTTTTGCTATGCAGAAGCTCTATAGTTTAAATAGATCCCATTTGTAATGGGATGTTTTTGTCTATGCCTACGTCCTGAATGGTATTGCCTAGGTTTTCTTCTAGGGTTTTTATGGTTTGGGGTTTTACATTTAAATCTTTAATCTATCTTGAGTTTATTTTTGTATAAGATGTAAAGAAGGGGTCCAGTTTCAGGTTTCTCCATATGGTTAGCCAGTTTTCCAAGCACCACTTACTGAATAGGAGATCTTTTCCCAATTGCCTTTTTTTGGTCAGGTTTTTCAAAGATCAGATGGTTGTAGACGCGTTGTGTTATTTCTGAGGTCTCTGTTCTCCATTGGTCTATATGTCTATTTTTCATACCAGTCCATGCTGTTTTGGTTACTGTAGCCTTGTAGTATACTTTGAAGTCAGGTAGCATGATGCCTCCAGCATCATTGTTCTTTTGCTTAGGATTATCTTGCCTATACAGGGTCTTCTTTGATTCCATATGAAATTTAAAATAGCTTTTTATAATTCTGTGAAGAATTTCAATGATATTTTGATGGGAATAGCATTGAATCTATAAATTACTTTGGGTACTATGGCCATTTTCATGATATTGATTCTTTCTATCCATGAACATGTAATATTTTTCCATTTGTTTGTGTCATCATTTATTTCTTTGAGCCATGGTTTTCAGTTCTCCAAAGAGATCCTACACATCCCTTGTTAGATGTATTCCTATGTATTTTATTCTGTTTGTAGCAATTGTGATTGGGAGTTCATTTATAATTTGGCTATCTACTTGCCTATTGCTGGTGTAAAGGAATACTTGTGATTTTTGCACATTGATTTTATATCTTGAAACTTAGCTAAAGTTGCTTATCAGTTCAAGTAATTTTTGGACTGAGATGATAGGATTTTCTAAATATAAAATTATGTCATCTGCGCACAGAGACAATTTGACTTCCTCTCTTCCTATTCAAATACACTTTATTACCTTCTCTTGCCTGATTGTCCTGGCCAGAATTTCAATACTATGTTGAATAGGAGTGGTGATAGAGAGTATCCTTGTCTTATATAAGTTTTCAAAGGGAAAGCTTCCAGCTTTTGTCCATTCAATATAATATTGACTGTGGGTTTGTCATAAATAGCTCTTATTCTTTTGAGATATTTTCCATCAATACTTAGTTTATTTAGAGTTTTTAACATGAAGGGATGTTAAATTGTATCAAAGGCTTTTCTGAATCTATTGAGATAATCACATGGTTTTTGTCTTTGGTTATGTTTATGTGATTGATTACAATTATTGATTTGTGTATGTTGAACCAGCCTTGCATCCCAGGGATGAAGCTTGATGGTAGTGGATAAGCTTTTTGATGTGCTGCTGGATTCAGTTTGCCAGTATTTTATTGAGGATTTTCACATTGATGTTCATTCATGGATATTGGTCTGCAGTTTTCTTTTTATGTTTCATCTCTTCCTGCTTTTGGTATCAGGATGATGCCAGCGTCATAAAATGAGTCAGGGAGGACTCCCTTCATTTCAATTGTTTGGAATAGATTCAAAAGGAATGGTTCCAGCTCGTCTTTGTATTTCAGTAAAATTCAACTGTGAATCTGTCTGGTCCTGGGCTCTTTTTGGTTGGTAGGCTATTAATTACTGTCTCAATTTCAGAGCTTGTTATTGGTCTACCAGGGTTTCAAACTATTCCTGGTTTAGTCTTGGTAGAGTGTATGTATCCAGAAATGTATTCATTTTTTCTAGGTTTTCTAGTTTATTTGCATAGAGGTATTTATAGCTTCCTCTGATAGTAGTTTGTATTCCTGTAGGGGCACTGGTGATATCCCCTTAATCATTTTTTATTGCATCTATATTCATTTTTCTCTTTCTTCTTATTAGTCTAGTTAACAATCTATCTATTTTGTTAATCTTTTCAACCCAGCTCCTGGATTCATTGATTTTTAGAAAGGTTTTTCATGTCTATCTCTCCTTCAGTTCTTCTCTGATTTTAGCTATTTCTGGTTTTCTGCTAGCTTTTGGATTAGTTTGCTCTTGCCTCTCTAGCTCTTTTACTTGTTATGTTGTTAGTGTGTTGATTTTGATCTTTCCAGCTTTCTGATGTGAGCATTTAGTGCTACAAATTTCCCTCTTAACACTGCTTTAGCACTGGCCACGGACTGCCACAGCTGATGTGTTGAGCTCTGGGGACAAGTCTCGCGACCAAGCTGTGCAGTTTTCCTGGCTCCAGCAGAGGAAAAGCACAGCCTGGAGCTATAGAAATGGGTGCAGCCCTTCTGTGCCAGAAGCTTAGCATGTGAGGCAGTTGACAGTCCCAGTGCCGGATGCTGCCCATCACCCAAGAAGTTCAAATGGCTTAGACAGCAGGCAGTGGTAGTTGGTGCTAGTTGCCCTTCCCCACAGGAGTTTGGTAGGCTTAAGCAGATTCCAGCTGAGAGCATATAAGAATCTGCATGTTCCAGTTTG